CTGCAGCTGAATTGTAGTGATATTAGACTCGCCGGATCTACCCCCCTCTCTGACCACTCCCACAGCTGTATCCGATGTAAAGACAAAAATAAATAAGACCGAAGATGGGGTGGGGAGGCGCACAGGCGGCTGGCGCGACCAACAGGCAACACGCGTACCAACAGCACACCTCGTTAGGTAGGCCCCAGCCTGGGAGTGCCACATTAAGAAGGAGCCATTGAGCCTGACTCTCAGCGCGCATTAAGCCACTCCACACAAGACACACACTGGACTGACTGCGGTGTCCAAGTTATCCCGTCAGTTGACACGGTTTGGAGGCAAGACGGATAAGTGACAGGATGACAGTCCAGCCAGCCATCTTCTACTGTTTTTTAATGCTGGGGGAAGACTTTGCACGCGGAGGATGAACGAAAACCGGAGATGGTTGACCACCACTGCCTAAAGAGTATCCTTCGAGTGAGGTACACTGACTTTGTCCTAAATAAGACAGTCCGCACTCGCTGCAAAGTCAGTGAGTAAGTATATAATTCAGCAGATGTTAAAGCTAGCAAACATGTCTGCCATGTGCGATGAATTGCCCCGCCCGTCTGTGTACCTGGATGCAATTTCAACTGCTCACACTTATTCGGAAATTTGAAAAAAAACTTTTAAAAAACCGGAAGGTGTACTTTTTTCAAGTAGAAGACCTAATTGCCTACCAAATGAAGTACAAGAAGGACTATTTTTTATACGTGTCTTTTTATAAGATATATTTCCCTTTAGAAGTACACGCGAAATTCGACGAGAAAAAAAGGTATACTACAAAGGCAGGCAGTATTTACGCAGTGGAGTTTTCGCAAGCAACCGAAGAAAAGTCGGGGTTTAAAAAAACAGTCCCCAGCGCAACTGACGTATGCTGTCAGTAGGGTTTAAAAAAACAGTCCCCAGCGCAACTGACGTATGCTGTCGGAAAGATAATATTACAATCCTACTTTTTATATTTTTATAATCGAAAAAAGTACCACGAAATAGCACAACAGTGAAGACAGATGAAAGCGGATAAAAAAGGTTAGGTAAAAGTGAGAAATAGTTTTAAAATATCGAAAAAAAACAGTCAGTAGATTTTTATGTCTTACTTGTAGGCCGCATCTAGAGTCAGTTTGGAGGTCTGCATTAGATAGGCGATGGCCACGGTTGGAGATCTAGAGATGCCCGCCGCGCAGTGTACGAGGACACAGCCCTGAGAGGCTCTTGCAGAGTCTGGGAAGAGCAGAAGGGGCGACATTAGAATAACTGCAGGTTCAGAAATGCGATTCCATGGGGTTTGCGTGGAAAAGAAACAGGGGGAGGGGGGCTCAAAAACATGACGGTTCTGTGGCCTATAAAGTCTCGCGTCATACAAAGACCAGGATAAGACAGAAACACCTAAAATTCCGGTCGATATTCTATATTAAGCATTTGGAGTAGAGCGAATTTGGCAAGCTCTCCGAACTGTCAGCAACTTACATAAAAAAATTCACGGAAGTTCATCAATTATCTTAACCAAAATCTTTGTCATAGTGAGAAACCAAGGTGCGACGATATCAGATTTCTAAAGACTGCTCAACAACTTCAGGGCGGCAATACTAGGAAGTACTTCCAAGCCAACCAAAATGCCTGCGAAAATGATACACAGGATTAGAAATGTTGGTGTGTTGTCATAAAAACTGAGGCAGTCATCTTCCGAAACTATCCAATGGCGGCGGTCAAGACGGAAA